CAAAAAAAAAAAAAAAAGACAAGCAAAGCACAAGCATAAGTCCCTTGCCAGGCACCCAATGGCTCACACCTCTAATCCTAGTTACTCAGGAGACTGAGATCTGAGGATTGTGGTCTGAAGCCAGCCCAAGAAGAAAAGTCTCCATGAGACTCTTATCTCCAATAAACCACTCAAAAAAAGCCAGAAGTGGCACTATTGGCTCAAGTGGTACAGTGCTAGACTTGAGCACAAGCATTCAAGCTCTGAATTCAAGCCCTAGGACCACCAAAAAAAAAAAAAAAAAACAGCACAAGGAAGTGGCGCTGTGGCTCAAGCAGTAGAGCACTCGCCTTGAGCTGAAGAGCGCGGGGACAGTGCCCAAGCCCAGAGTTCAAGCCCCACGACCGGCAAAAAAAAAAAGGGGGACATGTCTCAAATTCAAGCTCCAGTACCAGCATAAAAACAAAAACAAAACACAGTTCTTGGTTTGATTTCCAGCATATCCTTCTGGCTATGGATGGGAAAACCCAATAAATCCAATTCCATTTTCTCAAATTAACTCCTCCTTCACAATGTGATCATGAGGACTGGAGAGGAGAAATGATGGCAATGCATTTTGCTACTAGAAAACCATTACATTTTTGAGAGACTATTTACTTTCGCCCATTTTTATCTGCCAAGTACTCACAAAAACCAATTACCCCTTCCTCCAAAAGAGGAATTTGTTTTTACATATATTTGTTATTACATATGTTTGGATGGCTCACAGCACAGTATATTTTTAGGTTGTATGTTTGCTTTGTGTTCCACTTTAGGAAACAAGTTTTGGATTGCACTTAGCATGCCTGCTCTATAATGCACAACATTGTTATGTGCTTAATTACACATTTACTTCTGGTTATAAAGACAGAGCCTTGGCAGTAGGCCCAGGACAAGCATCTTGTAGGATCTAAAGCTGTCTGATTTATAAAAATATATTGTCACCTGGTGTCAGTGGCTCACACCTGTAATCCTAGCTACTCAGGAGGCTGAGATCTGAGGATCACGGTTAGAAGCCAGCATGGAAGGAAAGTCCCTGAGACCCTTATTTCCAATTAACCACCAGAAAACACTTAAAAGTGGCTCTGTGGCTCAAAGTGGTAGAGCACTAGCCTTGAGTGCAAAAGCTTAGGGACAAAACCTAGACCCTAAGTTGAAGCCCCATGACTGACTCAAAAAAAATAAAAGTCACTTTTAGCCAAAATTAAAGGTTTTAAACATTCTTTTTGTATCTATTACTCTCTATTTTAAATAAAGATGTGATCTGTTGTTCCAAATAAAGAATTTAAATGTTTGGGCAGGGAAGGTGGCTCAGTGGCAGAGTGCTTGTCTCACATGTATGAGGCCCTGGGTTCAATTCCACAGCACCACATAAACAGAAAAGCTGGAAGTGGCACTATGGCTCAAGTGGTAGAGCGCTAGCCTTGAGCTGAAGAACTGAGGGACAGCACCCAGGCCTAGAGTTAAAGCCCTATGGCTAAAAAAAAAAAAAAAAATTAAGTATTGAAGAATCCAAAGGGGCTGGGAAGGTGGCTCAGTGGTAGAGCGCTTGCCTTGCATGCATGAGGCCCTGGGTTCGATTCCTCATCACCACATAAGCAAAAAAGAAAAAAGCAGGAAGTGGCGCTGTGGCTCAAGTGGTAGAGCGCTAGCCTTGAGCTGAAGAGCTGAGGGACAGCGCCCAGGCCCAGAGTTCAGGCCCCACGAC